AATGTCACATCCATGACTATGCTCGTAGGGTTGTGAACAATGGTCACCACAGGTACTCTCCCGCCGAGCCCTGTAGCGACGACAGTGAACTGCTGTGTCTCGTTGAGGGTCCGGTGGAGAGTTAGCAGCTGAGCTTGAGCGATCTCCCGATGTGGATAAGTTTCCTTCTCGACTTCAGACAGACTCGAAAGCCACGCTTGAGTAGATGGGGTACCATTCAACAAGAGCGTTACGTCCACGTCACTATTAGGTAGAGCGAGGCCGGCAGCTGCAGCACCGTACTCGACACACGTAAAGCCGACTGACTCAAGGACACCCTTCAAACGTTCGATGGCCTCAAGTGCGGCAGAGCGTTCCTCAGGCTTCGGCTTGAGCACATGGAGAAGTTTGGGCGTCGGCAGCACTGTGCTGCTGAGGTTATGATTGATGAAGACTCTCCCACCTCGGTGGTCAGCGACTCCAATGCTCCCGTCAGACGATGTTATACGGCTCTCATGGAGGGACAGCTCGAGGCGATCGCAGAGCAGATCTCTATATTCAACAGTGATTTGCTCGGGACGGCTACTGGCGAACTTATTTCCAATTCTTACACCGTCGTCGGCTCTCGCCGATAAGTCTGAGATGCTACTGAGGATTCGAATTGCCTCCTCATACTCACCCGCGGCCTCACAGGCACGTACAACAGAGGAGAGGGTTTGACGTTGAGGAGTTAGCCCGCGTGAGGACAGCTCACTCCACAGCTTAATGGCTTCCTTCCCCTTCCCAGCACGAGCACAGGCCGCTATTGCGACTGTATAGCAAACAACATCTGGCTCATCAATACACTGTAACAAGTCCAAGCTCTCGGACCACATCCCAAGGCGTTCATAAGCACACAGAGCACAAGTCGCTAGGACCTTGTCATCACTAGCCCTCACGCCGCTAGCAGACAGCAGTGCGAGGCCATCGGCAGCGTATCCGGCTCGGATACACCCCGAAACCGCTGTGGCTAGATGCTGGCGATCGATCGTCATCACATCACGGGCCTCGGCCAATAGATTCTCGTAGACAGGAGGCGGATAACCGTCTTGAGCGAGCCGGTATAGGAGTAGTTGGAGAGTGTAAGCATCCTTCATGTGATGAGGTATTTTCTTCCAGACATCCATAGCGGCCGAACCAGTCATCGGCAACGAGAGGAAGGCATTATAGGTTCGGCAGGTGGCCATGTTGTTATCCTCACTTAGCCGTAACAACTCCCTCGCCTCACTTTCACAACCCATACGTCCACAGGAGGCGATGGCCGAGTTCACGACAACCGAGTTCAGCATGTGCAGACTGCCACTAACCAGAGCCTTAATCTCAGAGCAACTGTACGCGTCCATAGAGAAGGCCTGGCTGTACGTGAAAGCATCGGGAACGACGTTCTGCATCCCGGCCTTGTCGAGAAGGTCTCTAGCCTGCTCCGTCGAAGCCCACCGGCCTCTCTTCAACGACTTGAGGAGCTTGTTCAGATGTCTAGTAGATCCTATCGATGAGAGTAGTTCCTTACTGGGCATGCGAACCACCACCACAGCTACTACGGCTACTCTACCCACCACTAAATCAACTCCACAGGTAAGGGGTAGCCGAGAAACTATTGAGGACGTTTGTAGAATACAATGAGCTATCAATGCTGGAGGCTAAATCACTCCGCGGTACGTTGCTTCTTGCGATTTATGAACGACTTATAGGGAGTCTTGCGCTTCTCCTTCTTGGGAGCGTCCGACGAGAGCGCCACATTACCGGCCACATCTGGCAACAACATACTTACAAACAGCAGAGAGCTTCCAACGAACGCGAGCTCACCTTCATCGACCTCCTCAGCCACGGCTGCAGCGGGAGCAGCTCCATCGTGTTCTTCTTGGGCCTGCAGTGCCCTCTAGGATATCATCATCAAGCCGGTCCATATCCCCAGCAGCTCTCACATCGTAGCCGAGCTTTACTAGAGCGTCATAATCCCCGGACAGGACAGTCTCACTAAAATAACAATGCTTGTATCGCACCATAACAGAAAAAGCTACCCCACGCTTCGCTGATGCTCAGCCACTCGCCAGGCTCATCAGCTCTCACCACGACACATTGATTCTGAGCTACATCATTGGGACCAATTTCTACTCGGTATTTGACACCAAGGTGCTCCCAGTACGCAAACTTCTGGCCAGGGGTATACTGAGCTCTCATAACAGGAAGCGAGAAAGGAGTGGTATGTAGCGTACTCCCTCCGGTGATCAAGCCAAGCATCTACACCAGTCGAGAGGAGGGCTCTCTTTGCAGCTATTGAGGCTGAGTCGACCTCCGCCTTCTCCCGAGCCTTCTGCTTCCATGCAATCGGAATCTAAACGAGCAACCACTATAACGATCCCCCACCACACTGAGCCTACCACAACGACTTCATGCTTGCTGCCCTTCTCGACTCGCTGTTGTTGCTTCACCTAATGCCAAGTACGTCCGTCACTTCAAAGTCGGTCCGCCTTCTTACAGCGTGCATTAGCACTCTCTGCTCGCGGTTCTTTATCCTATTGATCTCGACTTTGATGAGGGTCTCATCGACGCCTTCATCCCTCATTTTCCGTACCTACCAGACTGCCTACCCTCCCAACACATAGCCATTTCCCCGCACTGTTTTCTGTATAGTCCTCTGAAGGTCCCTCCTTCTTTGTTCCAAGGAGTCCGGCTCCAGCTTGACATCTGCGGCTCGCTCCCGCGCCTTCTTCCTACTGCCAGTGGCCGCTTCAGTAGGGACCATTGCGGTCGTTGTTGAGGCCTCTTCCTCCTCTACTGTCGTATGCTTCTTCGACTTGCGGGGCATGATCCAGAGGAACCAAGGATGGAACAACTCGACGATGAGAGCTCTCCGCAAAGCTTTTCCGATTACATACAGAGAAATTTCGCCATTTAAATGCTCCACGTGTTTGAGGGACGATTCGAATGAAGTCCTCTGGCAAGTTCAGAGAGCTTGGGCAGCCTTAAAGCTGGATGGTTCACTCAAGTTCTACGTGATAGAGTGTGAAAACTATCAATAGGTCTAGCACAGGAACTGCTAACATAAGCCGGGCCGTCCAAACTCGAGGCCGCTGTTAACCGAAGAGATCAATACTAACGAACAGTGGAAAGGATCAGGCAAGGTCCAGGGTAACCTAATGAAGCATTACATGAGAGTTGAAACATCACGCGCCACGAAATATCTACCGAGCTGATGACACGAGCGCGACATATAGGGCATTTGGAATTGACTGGGTCCTGTTGAAGCAGCCGTGCACAATCGGAGCCTGACGAGTATGAAGTCGAGAGGGGAACTAAGCCAAGTAGCTCTGCTATAACACTCACAAAGGGCTGTATGGCCGCAGGGTAGTAAGGCTGTGTTGATAGGGTTGGTGAGGCATATTGAACAGGTGTCTCTCGTCTTACCATCACCTGATAACAGCACGGGCTGAGATGGTCGCGGGTTCGATCCCTGCAACCTACCATTTTTAGTAATATCTGCTAGACCATAGAGCGCGCCGGTGGCTACAACTGTGCCGTTGGGTAGTTTGTGTATTTGCTCAGAGACGGTAACGTTAGTAGCATGGGAATCAGTCGGCGAGAGGTACATCAGAGTGCTGCTCTGCGTGGCCGCTACGAACACCTCGATGATCTGATCAACACAGTCTTTCGACCCGGGTTCGAACCCTGGCGAGTGCATCTCAACAGTGCTTGCAGAACTCACAAGAGGCCAATGCTGCTCACTCATCGCCTTGAGCATAACCGTCGAGGGCTCCAAATCGAACTCGAGGGTGGTCCGAGTGTTCGGAGCCGTACACGATACACGTTTACTCTGCGAATGCTCGTAGCTCAGCACTGGCCACTGAAGACGGCGTCGTCCACGAGATGAGGAAGCGGAATTGTCTGAGGCCCACCGATTCTCCGAGTCTGTACAGCAAGGGAGAGACTTACACTTGTTCATAGCGTTCATGTACACCGTCACCATAGCATCAGCAGAGCATATCAGTGTGAACAGAACCTTGCCATCTCCCACACGAAAGGACGCCCGATCGACCTGAAGACCGCTGTGCAGCGTACTAGCATCGAATGTACTGTGTTACATAAGCTTGGACAGCGACTGGAGTCAACTGCTCCCCGTTCGCGACAGGTGTTGTTCTACTACAGTGACTGGCATTGGAGGTATCCATGGCGCTACCGGCGGGATTGAGGACTACTTCGGTTGAGGTGCCATCGGGATTTAATCGTATCTAGGGAGGAAAATGCCCTTGCTGGGGGTCGAACCAGGGACCTACCACATGTTGCTGTGGTAGTGGAGGTAATGTTCGGGACTCCTGTTGGCCCATGCCTGAATGAAAAAAGGACTGATTCATGATCAATGAGAGCACCACAGGCATGAACGCAACCAGAGCTTCCACCGCTAAGATACTTCTCATCCTCATTCACTGGTATCATCAGTATTTGCACGCACGCGCACATCCGCCGTTGGAAGCGACAAAGCCAGCCCGGTGACCAAGGCGTTTATAGAAGCTTCGTCCTGATGCAGGAGACAGCTGAGTTTGGTTTCCACTGAACGATGACAACTACCTTCAGGCGCGCCGGACCAATATCAATAGCTGCAAGCTGATCCAGTAATGCATTCACTGAG